CCCGACGAGGAGATCATGGCCCACAAACACACAGGCATGGTCCACGCGACCACAGGATCCTTCATGATCAGGACGCCGCAGCAACACATGGTTTGACGGTCCGTGGTGGCATGACCGCCCTCCGCCGATCTCCTCGTGGGATCCTCCTTCACATGCTATGACTCCGTGTCCGCCGCCCGCCATGGATAACACTCTTGGTCGAGCATCCTCGGGCTGTCAAACCATGTGTTGCTGCGGCGTCTTGATCATGAAGAATCCTGGGGTCGCGTGGACCATGCCTGTGTGTTTGTGGACCATGATCTCCTCGTCGGGTCATACAACACATGCTCTGTGTCCGTGTTCGTGTTCGCCGCCCGCCATGGATAACACTCTTGGTCGGGCAGACTCTTCATCATGAGGACGACGTACTAACACATGGTTCGGGAGCACGAGGACGCCGGGCAATGTGATATATCCACGGCGGACGACGCACACAGACACATAGGAGAGCCAACTGCACCGTAATGACCCCCGACACCGTAGTGGCCATCGGAGAGACACAACGCACACCATGGAAGGAAACAAAATACTCATGTTTGTCAGCATGCAAGCATAGCAACGCACACTGCCACACAAAACCCCGGCCCACCTTGTGATGGTATGGCCCTTCATCGTGGGAGGTTACGCCGGACCTTCTTATCCCGCGTCCCGGCGTCCCCGGAACGCCGGACCATATCATCACATGGTCGAGCGTCCCCGGGACGCCGGACCATACCATCATATGGTCCGGTATCCCCGCGACGCCGGACCACACCTCCGGCGTCCCTAGGACGCCGGACCATACCATCACATGGTCTCGTGCCGGGGACGCCAGACCATTGTGTCGTTTTTGTTTCCGTCCAAGGAGAAGGGGGCTATGTGTTGTGAACGTCCGGCGCTCCCTCTGCTGGTGCACCCTCCCGCGATGGAAGACCAACGTGTGCCCTCGGGAGTTGTCGTCAGACAGCGGTGCCCTGTGAAAACGGTTCGCGGTGAGATGGCCACGGGGACCGTGTGCTCAGGCGGTGGGTGCATGGCGGTTGTTTGCCGTTTCTGTGTGTGCGAGTCGTGGGTGCGTGACAGTTGTTTGTGTTGGTGGACATTGCTCACCCAAGGCGCAGGAATGTTTTTTATTACAAAACTGAAGATTTTGCACGCCGAAAACCCCCCCCCCTTCGCAACAGATATTTCTTAGTCCGTCCGAGCACAAGAAATACATGTATTTTCGTCACGTTGTCCATTTTCGCTTGCAAACTTTTGTCGGGTTATTTGATGGAAAAACAACCATTTTGTCCTCTTGCTCACGGAAACATTCATTTCCCTCATGCATCCTACATTAGTTGTGAACTGGTCTGTGGATTAATAATAAGAAGCGCGAACTGATAGACTGCAGTGCGGAGCCGTTCTTGCTTTCGAACAAGCTCGTGCTTTCAAACAAGAGATGAATCGTACAAGAAACAAAGGTGAAGGAAGACGAATCATACAAAAAAGAAGTGTGGAGCCGTACAAACAAGATGATTTTTACAAGAAAGATGTGTGAAGAAAAATGTGTGAACTGGCTCGTGCTTTCAAACAATAGATGAATTGTAAAGGAAGATGAAGAAAGAAGAAAGATGTGTGAAGTGGCTCGTGCTTTCAAAGAAAAGATCAATCGTAGAAGGAAGATGAAGAAAGAAGAAAGATG